GGTCCAACGCCAAAGAGGAGGCGATGAGGGAGGCCACCATTTGGCAGGCCAAATATGATCAGACACTCTGGGTACTTCGGGGGCAGCGGGGGCCGGAGCCCGGGCTACAGAAGGAGGACCTGCAGGGTTTGATGGGCGATATCGTTCACGTCACGGGCGACGTCCTCGCTCAGATGCGTGCGTTTTCGTCTTTCGACGTCAAGAGCTTCCGGCCCGTGGGGGTTGCTCGCACGTTGTCTATTGCAGACAGCTTCGACGTAATGTGTGAGGCGGTGATGCGGCTGTTGAAGTTTGGTCTAGATTCGTCCACGACCGCGGTTGTGCAATCGTTGCGGCGGTTGGAACCCATAGCCACAGCTATGGCGGACGCGCGCTCCAGGTTTCTGACTACTCTCGTGCAGAATAGTGATGTGTTTCCGACCAGTACCAGGGGGCGGCACTGCCAAGGTTGCCGAACGAGGACTTCAAATTGTGGACAACGGCGATCATCACCTGGATGTATCCCTTCACGAAGATGCATTATCCGCCGGATGCGTTCGACGGCCACACCTTGCCGCCGGTGCCCGAGTTCCCCAACATCAACAACTTCTGTGAACGGGGGGTGAATCTATTCCGGCTGGTCCTGAGTGACGGAGGATCCCTCCCCGGAACAGGAGAGTCGCGGGGCGGGAGCGGCAAGCNTGAGTGACGGAGGATCCCCGGAACAGGAGAGTCGCTGGGCGGGAGCGGCAAGCGTAAGGCGGGCCAACTGGATCGAGGTGGTTCATCGTCACGGAAGCGCGTCTCAAGGGAGTGCTTCCAGTTCCGCGACTCTGGCACGTGCTCTTTCGGTGACAAATGCAGGTTTGAGCACGTCAAGCGCCGAGATTCGTCAAGTACAGGAAGTGGCGGTGGTGGGGGCGGGAGTCGCGGTGGCGGGGGGCGCTCGTCGGCTGGTAGTCAGGGAGGTGGCGTCGCCCGGGGAGGAGGACAGGCTGACGGTGGCGACCGTGGTGGCTCGTCGTCGGCCTTGGTGGTGCGGGGTGGCAGCAAATAGGGAGGCGTGGTCTCTCGTTGCGCGGCGGAAGTTTGTGTGCACCCATGTACAACATTTTGGAACGTCCGCCTGCACTATCCGTGTTCACCGATGCGTCTAAGCAAGCAGTTGGAGGGTGTTGTTTGCAAACGGGCCACTACTTTCGATATGATCTGTCTGTGGAAGAGCAAGCTTGCTTTGTGGGGTCGAGCAAATCGGTCCAGGGGGTTCATGATGTCAGCATCAACGTGTTAGAGCTCCTTGGCATGGTCATGGGGGCATGGATGTTGGTATTGGGCCGAAGTCACCAGCCTGTGGAGGCGGGTGATTGTGTGCGCCTTCGAGGAGACAATGAAGCAGCGACGGCGTGGATTGAGCGTTGTCGGGGGGGCCTTGAGCCTCGATCGGGGGCGCTGGTGCGCCTACTGGGGGCGCTGGAGGTAGCCAGCGGGTGGCATTTCCACGCGACCCATGTTCCCGGCATACTCAACTCGCTTGCTGATGGTATCTCACGTTGGAATACTAACGATGTTCATGATAACGTGTGCGCTGCCTCCCCTCATGTGGCGTGGCAGATCGTGGAGTTAGGCCCGACGGAGCGCGAGTTGTGCTCCACCGTGCTGGCTTCGAGCTCGTCCGGCACGCACTTGCGCCGTCGTCTGGACGAACTTACCTAGGATTTTTTGGAGCGTGGGTGAAGTTTCGAGAGGACGTTGTGGGGATACCGGCGTTTATGGTGCCGTCGTCTCCATCGCCGGACATTGTTTCGCAATTGTTGGAGTACGTGGCATACGCGTTCACGGTGCTGGGCTTGAGGCAGACGACGATAGCTGGTCATTTGTCTGCTGTTAAATT